TATGGTCCCCGGGGAACTGTGAGACCAAGGTGGGCTAATGGTGTGTAAGCGGACCCTCGATACACCGATGTCTTGGGAGAGGACTAGTAGGGCGGTCTCTTTCTGAGCTGCGACACGCTGTAACGCTCTGAGATTGCAATAACGCTCCAGTCCCATAGATGCGAATCGATCTGCGCCGCTTGTGTATCGAGAGAGTAGGAGGGAATCGGAGAGTACAGCTGCCTAATCACGCAGTCTGACAATGAACAGCACTGGCCGCAGGGCACGCTTCGTTGTGATCATCACAACGGGGGGGGGGGTCGTATTTGCCCCCGATGGAAGGGGGGGGGTCGTAAAAGCTAAAAGAAGTTTGGCAGTTGTTGGGAGAATCTAGGAAAGTGGAAGGTAGCATGGGGAGGGGGGTCGTATTTTTCAGGAAATGATCACAACGCAATGGCGTGCCCTGACTGGCCGATGCCGCCGACGTTCCGTGTGCGGCTGCGTCCGCGTCTATAGGATTGGAGCGCCATTGCAATTGTAAGCGTCGACGCGCGTCATCGCTAAGTCTGAACGCTGCCTTAGCTGTTTACTGACCTGTTGGTAGACATCAGTCTCTCCAAATGAATACACAGGTACTAACGAAGCACCGCATCGGAGTGCTTGCTTTACGAAACCTTTTCGAGTTAGCAGCTTGAGTTTGTGCACTCCAGGTCGAGCATAAAGGGCTTCTTCAGCTCCTCCTAAGATATTGAGTATTAGGGTACAGATTGCTCATATTTGACATATTTTTATAATTTCCCTCTCCGTTCTTCCGAACAGCTCTGATTTGTTTAGTACTTCTTAGCATGTGTAATATAACTTCACCCACCTACGACAACAACCACAGCTTGTCCAGCATTCTTCATCGTGAGAGCATTATGGATGCTTTCCTTGGAACAGTCTATCATTCCAGAAAGCAATAGCCATTCCCTCCTGAAAGTATCATCGGAAGTCGTCTTGTTTTCACTGTTCGATACAGGCCAACTTTCTCACCTGAGCATGAGGTTGAAGTTTGATCCCAGCGTACAGGCGAAAAACCTTATTCCAGGGAACTAAACAAAGTTACGCGATAATTCTGTCGCTCCGTCGCTCGTTCCAACACATTCTTCCTAGTATGAGAGCCCCGAGAGCGAATTCATTAACTGATGAGTCTATAGGTTGAGATTAGGGGACGTCGTACGTCGGGAATTCCCAGCATAGTGTGGGAGGGTGGTCATCTTCAGCTTCGAGGAAATTTTCCCCTCATGCGAAATTGTTTGAGTTATTGAGTTTTGCGGGGTTTCCCCGATTCCATGGGTCATATGTTTCTCCTAGATTGCAACGAGGTCAAAGTCCTGTACAGCTACAATTTCCGATAGTTGAGTTTGGTGGCTGTTCGGTGGCGACACCTCCTCCCTCGATACCCTCCCCATTAGCGTTTTCCTTGAAAAAAAATTGGTAAGTGGATGAGAGTGGTAGGAGGAGAGGAGGGCGTACTTGCGCCAGATAGCCAACCAGTGTGCCTTCCTTCTGGCATGGTAGTGGGGAGGGATACGCCTAACAAGACAGAAGACAAGAAGAAGAACTCGGACTCTATCGCGCTTTAACGTAATTGTTTCCCGTCAATGTTTTGGAGAACGGAAAAACCCTCGAATCCGAAAAAAACGCTCACCTGTTTGCTCTTTCCAGTTGCCTCTCTATCAGTGACGAAAGCTGCGTAAATTCCATAGCAAATTATCCCGTGTGGATGAGCTCCTATGAGGTAGTTCTAAAAATTTCTAAAATGGACTTGACGGCCATAGAAAAGATGGCTCAAGCTTCTCGATCAGCTGGTAAGTTCCAGCTAAGTTTTGTGTAGGCGACGCTCTGCGAAAGTAATTGGCAACCAATATTACCATCCCCACTGAAAAAGTGCTCAGAATCGATGAGTTTCCCAAGACAGAGGACACTATAGGTTGGCCGATAAGTAATGGCCGTTTTTTCAATTGAAAAATTTGTTCCAAAAGTGAACTGTTTTGCAAGCAAGCTTAATATCGTTTAATAGCAAACTTCTCGTAGTATTAGAATATCAAAACAGCTTCGGTTGAGGGAAAGTTTTTTCAAGTCGTTGAAGTTGAAAGTGAAGTCGGCGAAAATTAGCACCTTCGACAACTGCCTCTATTTACGTTTACTTGAAATTTCATGCTAATAGTTGAATGAATTGAATTTGAATTCGATATTCTAATACTACGAGAAGTTTGCTATTAAAAGATATTAAGCTTGCTTGCAAAACGTTTTACTTTTGGAATAAATTTTTCAATTGGAAAAAACGGCCATTACTTATTAGCCAGCCCACTAGCACCTTCGACAACTGCCTCTATCTCACGACCTCACGTTCCGTAATGATAACCTGAAATTAGCAGAAAGTAAACAGCTCTGGAGAACAGATTTTCACTGCAGTGTTATAGAGCACGAAATTTGCTATCAGAACATGCAAAACATATCAACTATTAGCATAAAATTTCAGGTGGAACAGACGTGAGCCTACCCAACTGGCTAGGTGAAGGTTGGCAACTTTGAAATTCTTAAAATTCGTTCCAAAACGTCCTATTGAGATTCCCTTGCTGAGACTTCTAGCTCAACCTTTCCCAAAAGTATGGAGCAGCTTAAGCGACTTTAGCACTTCAAGTAAACGTGTCGTAGAACAGGGCAGTTGTCGAAGCGGCTGATTTCGCCGCTTCACTTTCAACTTCAACGACTGAAAAATCCACAAAAACTCTTCCCCTCAACCGAAGCTGTTTTAATATTCCAATACTACGAGAAGTTTGCTATTAAACGAATATTAAGCTTGCTTGCAAAACAGTCATTGGAACAAATTTTTCAATAACGAAAAAACACGGCCAATACACTTTTCGGCCAACCTAATAGATGCGAAAGGCATAATAGCAGTTCGACAAACCTCTGCATCCACGGATTCTTGTAACCACCATTTTGCGGGGATTTCCGGTCGTATAGATACCAGGGGATGTATAGTAGAAGAAGGGGCCAGTAAGTGAACAACTGCAAAATGATCATGTTACTATGCGGTAGTTCCCAATATGGAAGAGTTAGACTTGAAAGGCTTCCATATAGTGAGCAAGCCCCAACTGTGTTGGCTTACGACCATAAGCTGGAAGCGCAGTCATTACAGAGTTAGAAGTGCAAAAATAGAATTCAAGTGCTCATTCCTCGCTGTCCCTAGTGTACGCTAGTGGTGTTCAACTCGGCACCATCATGAGGACTCCCTCAGAGTGTATTTGTCCCTTAGACGGAGGAGGTCTGGGTCGCGATCCTTGCACATCTTTTCCCACCGCGAAAGAACTTTTCGATTGCTGACTTCAGCAGTTCTCCCCGTTTCGTGTGTGGAGGGTGTACCTACTCCTAGTCGGCCGTGGCGCCAGGATATTCTACAAATATTTTCTTCGGTAGTCGAAGTAGTTGGTTGGTGAAGACCTTTCCTTCCCTGGTTTTTTGGCTGGGTTGGAGGTGGCGGAACCGAAAACTTTTCGGAACGCTGAGAAAATTGCTGGGAAGTTGCGAAAAAGACGATTTAATCGGGAAGAGGATAGTCTGCCATCCCATCCCTTCCATACCGATGCTGTACCCTGATTGGTAGAGCGATCAAACATGAGTTGCAGGAGCCGAGTGAATGAGGAAGTGGACGAAGAGAAACTAAGGAAAATTGCCGTCAGGTGCCGATGCGTCCGTTTGGATGTGGATCTGCCGAGTTAGGCGTGACCGCGGAAATCCAGGGACCTAATTACGCAAGATACCCATGAGAGGTACCCCACCCTGATCCTCTGGTTCCGAAAGTATGGTACAACTGCAACATGCCTCTTGAAGTTATCCGATAACAAATTTTTATCAAAAAAGAAAAATCGAGGATGTACCAGAATGAATGGAAGGAAGAAAGAAAATACTGCCAAGTGGAAAGTCATTAGAAACAACACGACGACGCCCAGTGTGTTGATTTGGTCTTCCCATGATTCTGTGAGCGGTGAGAAGTCGATGCCAAGTAGATGCCTCATCCTGAAAATAAGCTTTCTCGATGTACGACAGATCCGATCGGATTAGCCTGGAGAGTGTAGTTAGGCAATGGAGGAGCGAAATATTGCAAAAGTTAAGAAAAAACGACTAGAATCCGGAAAAAACGCATGAAACAGAGCTCTTCTTCAAAACAGGACGAGTTTAGAAGCGTTGGAGGGCAAAGTTACTTTGAGCGCGCCCTTCGTTTCAAAATGTGTCACACAGCACTTGTTCAAGGGTCTGGTATCATTTTCTACAGGGCGCATTCACCCCATGCGCCTAATCAAATTATCGGGTTCATTGTCTGTAAAAGCAACGCCTACGTGAAATTTCCTGGCATGAAAGAAAGGCATATACTAGGCAGTGTCTTCTTAAACTGTCTTTGACGCCTGTTGAGGTTCATCATGTGGTAGTACCGCATTAGTTGAGGCTACTTGGGTAACTGACAGCAAATCTCAAATAAAGGCCCAGTAGGTCACTTTAGAACATAGAAGAAAGGCCTGAAAATGAATGAAACTCCCAAATGGAACACCCAAGGGGAACCTACACTATATTTCTGAGAGCTTGTTTTCAAGTGCGATTTTGCCGCCCCAGATAAGTGATGTTCTTGTCAGTTAACGTCACTTGAGAAATGGAACGAGGTCGAACTTTGAACCTAACGAAGAGCAAATAATCAAAAGAATCACAGTCAAGGAAAT